TGCTAATCCATTGGGGTTTCCCCGCGTGAGTTCGAATCTCATCCTGATCGAACATTTTTGCCATTTTCATTTTTGATTTTAAATCAAAATGAAACCATTTCAATACGTTTTAAGAGTTTTTTTTGAAGAAATTTAATTGAAACCTGGATAGGATCCTCCGAAAGTAATCCATTTTGGCTTAACGTTCTTGTATACATTGCTGTTCTGGGCAGAAATGAAAGTCTTAATATCTTCCAAAGCCTGGTCAACGTTGCAAGTACTGAGACTACTAACTTTCATATCACTGAAACGATTAGTAAGAAGTTTACATCTTAATCATTGCGCTTACGGCTCTGGTCTACTGAAGCCGAAGCATCTGTGTTCCAATTGGTAAACGTCAGCGTTGTACAGTTTGGCCAAAGTGATATAAGTGTAGCCAGGATTATTAGCCCAAGCGTCAGTGGCAATGGATTCTCCTGGAGAGGGAATGATGTTGATCACTCAAGCTTCGGTTGTTTTACCTTGAATCAACAAGAATACGATTCCATTGTTCTTGTAGTACTGTGAGTTTCTCCAATATCTCTGCTTGAAAGTAGTGTTATCGTTTTTGAAGTGGTCTTTGATTTGATCGAAGTTCTGTGGCTTGGCATCTAAGTTGCTACTTTCGACATAAGAGTGACCTCTGTAAATAATTGAATGGAAATAGTTAGAGAAGAATAGTCTTACCCAACTAATCCATCTCTTCTTGGTCTTCCGAGAAGCATATGCTGGGATGCAGCAAGCACCACAAAACCTACCAAGCAGAGAAGGATAGATTTGTTCATTCTAAAAAAAATGAATGAGCAGTAAGGACTTAACAGTTTATATGAGCAGTCAAAAATTCTTTTGACTGAAACAGTCAAGCTTATCAATATAACTTTAAGGGCAGCATGTATGAGAAAGGTTTTTGGTGGCTAGAAAGTCTTTTTTTCAAGAGTAGAAAGGGCAAGTCAATGTACTTGGATGTAATCATCCCAAGATAGTAAGTGCTCAGGAAGGAATAGGAAAAAAGCTTCATTAAACGATGAGCTTCTAAAAAAAGTCGATGAAAGTAAATTACAAATCTTTCATGTAAGCCAGAAATTACAATAGTCTTATTTCTTGTTAATGTCTCCTTCCCACTGATAAGAACACTTTTCCTTCTGCTATCAGTTTGAATTATGAGGATGATCGGATAAAACTATTTGGAGGCAGTTAACACTTTCCATTTTTATTAGTAAACCTTGCCATGTTGTCAATTGTTGCTGATCCATTTTGCTATATGGATGGATAAGGATTGCGATCCAGCAAAGGAGCCATTAGATTTGAGTTCATTTTGAGTTTATTGCGTACTTATATCGAGTTACTCTGAATTTATGATTAATCTGATATCATATGAAGATAAGGTTCGAGAAACAACCGGTCTATGCGCCTACTAATCTCACAATGAATGTACCCACAGGACTCACGTGGAGAATTATGCATTTGATATGCTAATTAATCAAATTGGAGGGATATGATAATAAAACTTTATTTCATTCACAACCAACAATAGTATTAACAAACAATCAAAACACTCAGTTTTGAAAATATAAAAATATTATTACAAACATCTAATTGGCTCTTTTGTCATAACCGTTCGCGGCAAGAATCTCTCTAGTTAGATTGTTAATATGCTTAAACCTATCAGGACCAAGTTGTATTCCTCCATACCATCGGGTTACAACTACCATCACGTTCTCTGCTCCCATTTTTTCCAAAAGTTCTAGCATCTTAGAACTGGCGCCGTGTTCTCCATCATCATCACAGTCATGCATTCTACACAAATGAAGCCAAAAGTCAAAATGATGTAAGGAAATATGACGTACACTATCTCTTTTCCATCTTTCTGTGTTCTTATCCGCCAAGCCACCATATTGTGTGTGGCTCTGGCTATTTTATTGTTACATAATAGCTGTTTGAGCACTGCTGAAACCTGCGAGATTGATATGATGTGGTTATGTAAATAGCGTTTACTTCTTCCTTGGATTGAATTGGATATAAATGAGCCTGGAAATGACTTCGACGATCTGTGAAAGTATCGCCGTGTAGAATGTTGAGAAGAGGAGAATTACTTGTTTCTGAAAACATGTATAACACTTAAGGTGTAAGCAACTTCTCACCTACGGATACAAGAGCTTCTTTCTCAACACTTCCTTCATCGTTCTCTTCGGTCTCATCATCTAATGGTTCTCGTAAGTGTTTCTCCTCTGTTACAGAAATATTTTCTTCCTGCAAACGATGTAAACATGTTTGCTGAGCTAAGTCACCTCAATGAACTCCTTGGTAACATTTATAATTGAGAATAGAAGAGGCATGCCCAAGTTTTCCAAGCATTCCTGATTAATCAAATCCCACAACCTATTCTTTTGAACGGAATTCAAAGTTGGGCCATTCAATTCAATAACAGGCAGTTCTCTTGAATTGTAGATTAATTAGAACATGTTTATAAGGAACCTACTGACTAGGATATCTAGGAGGAGTGTTTATGATTAATCGGATGGGAGGCAAGTCAATGTATATTCTGTTTTCTCCATCGTAATACAAAATTTCGGGATAAATAGATTCTATAGCTAATATCTCATCTAGCTGGGCTGCTTTATCATCCTCCATTTATGGAGATATGAAGGAATTATCAATTCTAAAAAGCTTGTTTAAGATTAAAGACCGCGCAAGTAAGTGTGGACCATTCATAATTGAAGGTCTGTAACAGTTTGTCAGTCTAAGTCTCTCCGGTTTCCATTGTATTCATTGCTAAAGTTAAAATTAATAACTTTTTTTAAAAGCATAGTTATGTCTTTATTATTTCTTTAAGTGATGGCTCCCACAGTGGACATTGTGCAGGATGTTAACAATCTAAGTATCAATAAGGATAAGAAGAAGATAGCCGGGAGGTGTGACATCGAACTGGGGGACGTTACGCAGCATAATGTTTTGGTTTGTTAATTTGAACAAATCTTCTTGTCTACTCTACTGTTTAAGCAATTGAAACGTTTAAATCAGAATCTCTTCCCTGTATCCTACAATGATAAGTTCTACTCAGAGGTACGTTCATCTTCCTGATAAATGTGTTTATACTTGCAACTTGGTTTTAGATACTGAACGCTGGTCAATTGGCAAAGTTCGCCTACTTCAATGATGTCATTGTGGGAGCTGTTTGTTGTCGCTATGATACTCATGAAGGACGAAAGTCTTTGTATATCATGACTTTGGGGACTCTTGCACCTTACCGCCAGTAAGAATATTGCACGTTCGATGGTTTTTCTAGAATCGAATTTAGATTGGGTATTGGAACGTTGTTGTTGAAGCATGTGCTCGATATTGGAGAAAGCGATAGCAGTATCCACAACTTATTCTTACATGTACAGGTACGTGTTGTTTGTTTTAGAATTACGTTTGATTTCGTCTTCAATCAAATGTATTTTGATCCCTTTGGTTTTGTCATCATTTTGTTACGTTTAGGTCAACAATGAAACTGCCTTAGCGTTCTATAAGCGATATGGATTTGAACTTGTTGGTGTTGCCGAGAAATATTATAAGAGAATCAACCCAGACAATGCGTACATACTTGTCAAAAAGATGAGAAACTGATTGAATAATGACAAAATTTTTGCGCAACATGTTGTTAACTTCATGATGTTTGATTTATCATCCTTTCTAAATTAGTAGATTGTTCTAGAACTACAATCAATAGAAATATAATGCAGGAAAAGGGCGGGCCTAAGCGTTTTTCCGCAGCCGGTTAATCGTGTCTGTGTTTGTCCTTGTTACTCGGCAGTTTTCCTCTTTCCTTTCGATTCTCTGCTAAGACTCTGGTCTTACATTTTCTGTTATGCTTGCGTTATGTTGCCACACTCTTGTTAACGCTAGTTGAATTTTTTTTTCTCGTTTCTTATTTATTATAATAAAATTCTGCTTTCTCCATGTTTTTCTGCTATTACTGTTCTCCTCGAATACTTGAACGGCTTCGAACGTAATTGTAAACACACACTCTTTCAGATAACACAATGGTTTACAAGCTTTCTTACTTCAACATCAGAGGTTCGGCTCACATGTTGTGCCTTCATCTAGATAAATCATTTAAGGTCTTGCTGAGTCAACACGTCTCATGCTCATCGACCAAGGAGTTGCTTTCGAAGATCACCGCATTGAACGCGCCGATTGGCCAAAATTCAAGGCTGAGATGGTGATTATCTTCAAAATAGCTAATCTTCATGAACAATTCTTAAGACCTTCGGCCAAATCCCAGTATTTTACGATGGAGATGAGCAAATCTACCAATCTGCTACCATCAACCGCCATTTGGCCAGAAAACTCAGTAGGATTATAGCGAAGAGATGACCACAATATTACTTGTTTTAGATTTGAACGGATCAAACGAAAGTGAAATCACTTTCATTGACATGTTCTACGAGGCTGTAAGAGATGTTCGTAAGAAGTATTTGCAAGTCATTTACGGAAACTACGAACAAGATAAGGAGAACCTTATCAAGGTGATCTTGCCAGAGCAATTGACTACCGTTCAAAAAGTTTTCAAAACTTTCTGCAACGGAGAGAAATACATCGCTGGAGAGAAGGTAATTTGAATTCGCCGACAATAGTGTTTGAACTCTTTCTGTTAAGATTTCTTATGCTGATTACGAATTCTTTGAAGTTTTGGACATGATTTTGGTTCTTGACCCTACTGCTCTTGATAACTTCCCAACATTGAAAGCTTTCCACGGAAGAATGAACTCTCGTCCAACGCTCAAGGTATGAGTTGAGACAAGTATATCAATGTAAGCTTATGATTGCAGAGCTATTTGGAGAAGAGAGCTGTCTCCAACATTGCCATTAACGGAAATGGAAAACAGTAAAAACTTGTTGATCTTCAATCGTTCTCATGCATGAACTGCTTTTTTACTCATTGATAAATATTTTTTTGTGAAATTGTCAAGTTTTTGAATTGCATATGTTGGTCGGCTTATAACACAACTTGCTATTTTCCATATATGGGAAAGCAAATTCTAAATTCGATGGTGAATAACTCTGATTCGGTTGCTCATGGCAACAACTCCACTAAAACACAGACTTCTATTATTGGTTCTTGCTTCTATGCAGTGATTTCTGAACCAATTTCCGACCCTTATCTTGATAGAGGGGTTCTCTTAGGCTAGCAACTACATGGATTTCTTAATTTTGAAAAATTTTCTCGTTACCCTGTGATGTGTAAATGAGATGAAACTAAGATGAGAGCCGTAACGAAAAACAAGAGTATGTTTAATACTCGAACAGGGGAGAAGTTAATCAATAAATGCTTAACTTCTGGAAATGAGACCATTCTTATTCAACTCGACAAAATCCTCTTCGGTTGTAGTTGAGTTTTTGTATTTTGGTTGTGGGCGGAGTCCTATCCTACTCTTGCAACGCTATTTTGAGGTGTGCAATGTTGGAGAGAGGTTGTGTGATTTGTTAGTGTTGTGAGTATTTTTGTTTGTTTGCTTGTATAGAAAGTGATCCTGGATAGACGTTCAGAATAGTTTCTGACTCCAAAGGAAGCTGTTTTCTGTATTCTTCAGTGTCACATCCTCTGTTGTTCTAATCTTTCCTTGTCTTACATGATGCTATCTGATTGTGATAAACTCTTCGAATTGAGGGAGCGCGAATTGTCTGTGATTGTTAAGAAAGAGGTTCTGAGTGATCTTTCGCACAGTATCTGCTATGTATTGTAACGTTTCTCTTGTATCCAACTATTTGTCCATAGTTTCTCGAACTTCAAAAACTCTCCTGTCTGTCATCTCGGAAGTTGATATGATCTGTTCCTTTTCTCTTTCTGTTTTATGAAAACCGAGTTTTCATTTCAATATAGAACGTAGGTGTTTGTATTCTCTCTATTCCCTTCCCAGCTCTCTTTCTCAAGGAAGTAAGCTCTGTGAGTTCTGTTCCTGATAGGGATCCTGGTAGAGGATGGGAGGAGAATTTTTTTTCCCCGAAATCGTTTTCCACCGACTCTGCGCGGAGCTAAACTTATTTTTCCACGAAGTCAAGTCTCTTTCCTAATTTAACTTGTTCATATTCATACTCGATCGATTCAGTTTGCTTTGCTCTATCCTTATATTGTATGTGCTTCCCATTTAATTGATCTTGAAAAAAGTTTTTGTTTTTTTTAATTTTTTGACTAACTGCGCGGAGCCAAATTTATTTTTTCATTGAGTCAAGTCTCTATACCAACTCAATATGTTCATGTTAATACTCATTCGAATCTGCTCTTCAATCTCTTTCTTATTGTGGTATGCGCTAAGCATTTCGTCGATCATAGAAAAAGGTTTTCTTTCCGGAACTTTCTGCTCATAGCGCTATCAAAAATTTTTTTTGTCATTGTTGGGTCTTGTTTTTTCACTGATACTTTTATGTTTATACTCATTGGAATCTGTTCTTCTAGCTCTTTTCAACTGTGAAACGCGCTTTCAGTTTCCTTTTTGTTTCGAAAAGTTTTTTTTCAG